CCGGAATCCGGCTCAGAGCCGGCGAGCGAAATTTTGGCGCCGAGCCCCTAAAAAACGGGGAAGCAGTATCGTAGCGCAAACTGCGAGGTATATAGGGAATAGCGTGTAAGAAAAAATATTGCTGGGTGTCGTTCAAGGGGCCCTGCTGGGTCCGAGAGCGGCGAACCGAGAGTGGGAGAAAAATCCGGCAGCGGAAAAGCAAGAGTGAGGGAAAATCCGCCAGCCGAAAAGGACAGTCGTATACGCTTTCCTTTTCCGCTGCCGGATTTTTCCCCACTCTTTCCTTTTCGGCTGGCGGATTTTCCCTCACTCTTGCTTTTCCGCTGCCGGATTTTTCTCCCACTCTCGGTTCGCCGCTCTCGGACCCAGCAGGGCCCCTTGAACGACACCCAGCAATATTTTTTCTTACACGCTATTCCCTATATACCTCGCAGTTTGCGCTACGATACTGCTTCCCCGTTTTTTAGGGGCTCGGCGCTAAAATTTCGCTCGCCGGCTCTGAGCCGGATTCCGGAGTCGGAAATCGCAATGGGAATAGGCCATAAGGCATGATTGATGATAAAGAATAGAAGTGACAGAATCAGAGTCTTCCTGGATAAATACTTTGAATTATTAATTATAATTTGAATTTCTTTTTAGAAATATACTTATTATATAATATACTTATTATATTATAACAAGTATAACTTCATATGTATATTATAATAAGTATAAAAATTATAATAAATTATTAATTCATCATCAATAATTAAAATGAAATAAATGAATAATAGAAGATTATTATTAAAATTACGTAAACTGAAGAAGTATTAACTAATCCTTGTCTATGATCACCTACATGCAAAGTTTACAAAATCTTTTAAACAAGAAAATGACAACCAAAAGATTATATAAATGAGATTATGTAAATCGATTCCGAGGTGGTCTCTTTAGAGTTCCTGTCACTTCATTCAATAAGAAGCATCGTTTTAGTGTGAGAAAAAAATAGCACTTTCAACTTTCTAATTCTCAATAAATCCAGATTTTATATACAGGGTGTCCCAGAAAAAATGTCAGAGCCGAAGATAGGTGATTCTGTAAGTGTTTCTGAACAACAATTTCCTTTGCCAGAATGCAAAATGAGGCATGGTTTTCAAATTATTAACGAAAAACATTGACCAATGAGAGTATGTGTAGGGTCCGTGCTAAGCCACGGCCGAACGCCATGATCTGAGCTAACCTATTCGTGGCTGGATGCGGGCCCTACGCGTGTTCTCATTGGTCAGTGTTTTTCGTTACTAATTCAAAAACCACGGCTCACTTTGCATTTTGGCAAAGAAAACTATTGTTCTGAAATACCTCCAGAATAACCCCTTTTCGGCTCTAATACTTTTTCTGGGATATCCTGTATGTATGAGGGACTCCAATGCACACAAAATATACAAAATGACAAACGCAAAATGTATAGTGTAATGTTTAAAAGATAAAAGAGATTTCTATTTAAAACACATTCATTGAACTGATGCTATAAATCAATACCTTCTGTTCATGTAATTTTAACTCTTATAAGAGTACATCATATAATTCTAACTCGATTGTGTATAAGCAACATGAATCTAGCAATAAAATTCCGATCCGAGATTCCATGCAATATGATTCTATTTACATTTTTATCATTGATTATGGAATCATATTGTACAGAATTTAAAGTAGGAATTTTTATTAAAGTATATTCATACTACATACA